ATTGAATAGCTACATTGATTATTAAATAACAGTTGATGTCGTGACTAGCATGTTTTCCCCTGCCATACATGGTAGCAATCGTTAACTCCCCATTTATCTCTAACCTCCCGATCGTACTCTCCACTTTCCATAACTGCCCCTTACAAACACTAATCTATTCTTTTCTCCCATCCTGGGCGACCCAGTGGTCTTAGGTAGGGGGAGGTGTGCCGTTCCAGCTCAGTGGCAGCCCAACAGAACTGCTAGGGTCATTAAGGATAGGTGCCTTCTGATCTAAACTCACCCAGCTACCAAAAATACGAAAAAGTACGCCGTGGTTCCGGAAAGCGATATGCCGGTGATGTCGGGGGCCGAGGCCACCTCCGGCGTTATTCCCTCGGGCCCAGCTGTGGACGGTGGAGCAAGCAGCACCACTGCATGGAAACTGCAAGGCAATCGGAAATGGTTACCACATTTACAGCCATGTCCATTGCGCAAACACAGCCATTCGAGCCGTCGATTATGAAGCGAAAAAAAAAAAAATAGGAGAGAATATGAAAAAGCGTCAGATCTTAAAAAAAAAAAAACAGATAGTTTTGTACTATTCTGGGTAATAAGAAAGGAGACCGGGGCCTTTACAGAAGATTCTTCTAATGTAACGTCGTACAATAAAGAAGCGGTTTGGAGAACTAAAAAACGTTAAAAAGTTAGCAGCCGGATCCCTATGTGTGGAAGTCACTGACTCTCTACAGGCAATGATAGTTAAAGCAACATACCACATTGGTGAGATTGCCGTCAGAACGACTCTGCACAGAAAACTAAACACCTCCCAAAGTGTAATAACGGCAAAAGATCGAATAATATGCCCTGAAGAGGAAATTAAGGACGAACTAAGAGGGCAAGGGCTGATAGACGTCAAACGAATGAAGTGGAAAACAGAAAAGGCTATAATAAACACACCCTCTTTTACCCTAACGTTTGACAGCCCTAAACTTCCAGTTGAGGTAAGAGCGATCTACCTGATTCCAGTCCGTCCGTTCCAGCGCCAATGCGCTGTTTTAAATGTTTAGGATTCGGTCACACGGCAATGCGGTGTAGATCAGAAAAGTATATGTTCAAGTGGCTTAGCACTTCACGAAGGGCAGCCTTGCAGACAACCACCGATGGTGTCAACTGTGATGGACCACATCATGCAAGATCGAACGCATGCCCTATTCTAAAAGAAAAAAGAGAGATTCATCAACTAAAGCGGAAAAGGGCATGAATTATTTTGAAGCTCGCAACGTAAAAGCTGTTAAACAGATGACCTACCGGAAAGTAACGGAGGTGGCAATTCAGACAAAACCACCTCCTCCCATATACCCCCTAGGAGATCGGGGGTAAAAAAACGGTGGTTGTTCAGCCATCCAAATCTTCAAAGCTTCCTCCTAAACACTCTGGAGAGAGCCTTACATCGCCACCTTCTGGCGGAAACGACAAAACAGGAACCCCAAGGGCCCCTTCACCGATGACGATCAGCAGTCAAAAACTACCCCCCCCCCGACCGACCACGAAGGTGGTGTGTGATCTAGATAGACCTTCTATCAAGATGGCACTTGCAAAAACGACGACACATAATTGTTGGTTCGTGACACTGTATTCAAGTTCAATAAAATGTATTACATAGCTATTTGATGATAAAGTGTAATAAACTTCAACAGGTCAATCAAAAAATCAACAGGTGGTGGGAGTAAACTAAAGTCAATCTGTAAAAAAACAAGCTCCAACAAAATAGCAAATGCTATAGGTAAACAATTTTCTTCAATCTCAGATAATAGTTTTTCTGATAGACCATTTTTCATTTAAAAAATCAAAGAAGAAAAAATGATATAGTTCCTATAGTAGTACTTAATGAGCTCCTAGACCTCCCTTTTACTATGAAAGAACTAGAATATACATTGAAAAGAGTCAAGGGGACATCCTGAGGAACCTGATGACATCCACTATGAAATGTTACAAAAGTCTCCCAGACAGTTTAAACAACAGCTATTAAAACTCTATAATAGAATATACTTAGAAGAAAAATTTCCCTCAAACTGGAACGAAGCTGAAATAATTCCAATAATTAAACCAGGAAAAGACAAAACGTCTACAGAAAGCTATAGGCCAATATTATTAACTAGTTGCCTAGGAAAAATTATGGAAAGAATGGTAAACAAGCGCCTAGTGTGGTATTTAGAATTTACACGCTTCTTTATCAAACAGGATATACCTGTAGCCCTTCTAGAAAAGGAAGAAATAGAGAATATTTAGTCGCAATATGTTTAGACATCGCAAAAGCCTTTGAAAGCACATGGAAGCATAGAATAGTACAAATATTACACAATAATGGAATAAATGGCAAAATGTTAATGTACATTAAAAGTTTCTTAAATAACAGAACATTTAGAGCAAGGGTTGGTAATGACTACTCTGACACCTTTCCCCTTGTCAATGGAGTCCCACAATGGTGCGTCTTAAGTCCCACTTTATTTTTAATTGTGATAAATGACCATAAACTTTCATGATAAGAATGAGTTGCAAATCAAGTTTGCATTATTCATCGAAGATCTAGCATTATTCACAACAGACAAAAATAGCAATAGAGCTGAAAAACTCTTACAAATAACTCTAACATGGATCGAAAAATGGTTCGAAAAAACTGGCTTTAAAATATCGCCTCAAAAGTCACATGCAACTATTTTCAGAGAACCCAAACTTTATTATAAACAATTAATAAATAATATCCCCGTAATTAGATTCCTAGGAGTCTTATTTGACAGAAAATTAAATTGGAAATCATACATTAAATGAGTAAGAGAGAAGTGGAATAAATTAACAGATATATGTGTGTTGATTAGTGACCGTTAATCGATAATTATTCAGAAATCGTGAGATGCGGTTTGGTGTGATGTAGGTTTCAGAAAAACATTTTCTTTATCGTGCCAACGTTTCGATCTTTATTGAGCCCTGAAGATGATCTCAATAAAGATCGAAACGTTGGCACGATAAAGAAAATGTTTTTCTGAAACCTACATCACACCAGACCGCATCTCACCATTTCTGAATAATTAACAGATATACATCCTGGGCAACACTATGTGGGGAGCAGATAGACATACAATGATCAAATTTTACAAATCATCCATAAGATCAAGAATAGATTATGGCACTATAGCATATGAGTCAGCTAAAAGGAGTGTGACACAAATGCTGGAAACTGTACATAATAAAGCTCTAGGAATAAGTATAGGGGCATTTATAAGCAGCCCTATAGCCAGCATTTTAGCTGAATGTGGTGAACCCAGTCTACAAATGCGACGAAGAGACCTTGTATTAAATTTTTACATCAGTGTAAAATATAATACTCAACATCCTCTAGCAAAGAATACAATTCATGAACCTGTAACTGTACAACTGTAAATCTGCCCCGCCAGAGATAGATAAGAACTTGTCATGGGAGGCAATCAGCAAAAAAAAAAAAAAAAAAAAAAATTAAAACAACTGAATATATATGACAAAATTTAACAACAAGAAGAATTTATATAAGATAATATAAAACAACATAACAAAAGACAAATAAAAATGAAAAAACTATAAAATAGTAATAATAATGCTTATAATGAAAAATGAATAATGGCAATAATAGTGATAATGATTATTACTGGCAAATAATAGTAATATTAATATTAAACCAAAAATTTGTTGAGGGGAAGGAGGTCTTCTCCTTGGGCTTGGCCGGGGTGACATGGTGGAGGGGCGCAGGGGGAACTAAAGATTGCATGGACAAACCCAGACTTGGATGACCACAGCCCAAGCACATCCCTAACTTGGCCTGCGAGAGAAAAAAGAAAAAGAAAAGCAAGACTTGCTTACCTAACCTCCCTGTGCCCTAACCCCTGAGGCACTAGGCGGCCTTCCTTGGGTCTTGACCCCATCCACCTTAATTTATATAATTAAAAAAAAACATTTATAACAAAAAAATAAATAAAATAATAATAATTAAAAAGGCAATAAAAAAAATAAAAACAAATAATAAAAGCAGTCCATGGAGGATAATAATACAAAAATATTGTTCGCCCAAAAAAAAAGAGGGAAAAAAGTGGTGGGAGATTTAGATGGCATTTCTATAGAGATGACACGTGCAAAAACCACTAAAAATGTAAATAGTTGGTTTGTATCAGTGTATTCAAGATTAATACAATTTATTATACAGCTGCATTGTATATTAAAGTGTAATAAACTATAATAAATAGTAATCAACAGGTGGTGTGAGATCTAGACAGCCTTTTGATCAAGATGGTACTTGCAAAAACCACTAAGTATGTAAATAGTTGTTGGTTCATATCAGTGTATTCAAGATTAATACAATTTATTACACAGCTGCAACATTTGTTAAAGTGTAATAAACTATATTAAATGGTAATCAACAGGTGGTATGAGATCTAGACAGCTTTCTATCAAGATGGCACTAGCAAAAACCACTAAATATGTCAATAGTTGTTCGTTCGTATCAGTGTATTCAAGATTAATACAATTTATTATACAGCTGCATTGTATGTTTGAAGTGTAATAACTATATCAAATAGTTAGTACATCAACAGGTGGTGGGAGATCTAGATGGCCTTTCCATCAAGTTGGCACTTCCAAAAATGACTTAATACACAAATTGTTAGTTCGTCACAGTGTATTCAGTTTAATAAAATTTATTATATAGCTATATTGTATATTAAAGTGCAATGTTTATTAAATAGCTATATTATGTATTGAATTCTAAAAACAATGTTATTACTTGGAGGGAAACTAGAATATGGTAAGATTTAGATGGTGATACGTTTTTCTTTACAAATAAATCAATTTTGAATAAATTGTAAAAAGCACTTTTTAGAACAGTTTTATTTTCATCATAAATGAAATAACAGTAAAGTTACAATTATTGAACAATTTGCAATTAAACAATTCCTTGGCCAGCAATGTCAATGTAAAAATTGAAAGAACAAGGCTTCGAGAGCCCAATTTATTTATTTTTATTAATGTTTTTGAGGAAACAATATAAACTGTACAGAATATTTAGAAAAAAAGAAGACAAAAAAAAGAGTTGTTATACAAAAGACATGACTTTAATTTTATACGACAGAATTTCCATACATCTTAAATATAGAACACAGAGTATATGGCAGTGTTAAAAAGATAAGTCAGCGATATTATAGTCTATACAAAATAGTATCTAAAAAATGTACAATTATTTATACATTAAATCTAAAAAATGATGGAGGGATTAAAGCAAACTCAGAATCAATGTTGTACTATCAAGAGTTCAATAATAATCGTAAATCCAATTAACAACATAACTGAACATAAAATATTAAATTGGTAACTATTAAAAAGTTAACATATTAGTTATACAAAATATATATTGTAATAGAGAACACTCCATTACAGTTATTAATCACAAATGGTTATCAAAACAATCAATGTGTAACCCCACTATTACAAAATGCTCAGTGGTATGGTACAAAAAGAGGATAAAGAAATGGATGGTAAGAATTTGGAAGGATAAAAAAAAAGAAATAAAACAAGTGATTGATAATGATAAAGAAGCATCAACGATGAAAAACATCTGAAGAGTTATTCCCTTAAAATCTGATGAACACAAAATTTGAAATGTCTTTAAACACCAAATAAATAGGAATATTTAATTTATCTAGTATCTACATGAATTGTTTGGTACAAAACTGCTAAGTATATAATTTATTATTCAAAATATACATAAGTGTTTAAAAAAAATGTACACACATCCTTAGCAGTTTCCATGCAAACAATTATTAGTATGTAGTAGCAATGACCGTTTGCAATTAAAAAAAATTTTTTTTTTGGAGATCTTAAAAAGTATCATAGTTTAAAACTTATGGTCAAAAGTTGTTGAAAACACCTATACATCAAATTTTAAATATTGCTACTGACAATAAATTCATTTTTCACATTGGAAAACTTTTAATTTTTAACCCAAAGGCAATTTTGGATTTACACAAAATTCATTTACACACACATTCAAAAAACATTTGAATAATAATTTGCATCATACTCTTAATTTAAATGTTATGTAGTCTTAATTGCACAAATTATTATTAAACATTAGAAAGTTCTTCTTGAAATGGCGGTGATCCGACGATCTTTGGTAACGGAGTGGCAGTGATGGGGGACTTAAAGCTGGTACCGGAGAATAAGGTCCATCAAGTGGGAGAAGTGGTGGTGGGGGCGAAGAAGGCGATGGAGTCCTTGGGGGCCCATGTGGTAATTCTAAAACAGGAGGAGAATCCCTTTCTGGTGTTACATGTCTATATAACTGTGGCGGCCCCCTATTTTTTTTTCCATCCTTAATAAGAGATGACTCACAATGACCGATTCCCGAATCGGGGCTCGTGTTGCAACTGACTCCACCTTCGGTGCTCCTCCTGCGTTTATCGAGCTCTGTCGACGCGAACGCCACCAGCCGATCGAATCCGGAACTGATCTTGTCTTGCCACTTCTCCAAGCCTAGAACGATAACATGGATAAGTTCATATTTTACACTATTATTTTATTTAACTTGGGCATTTTTAAATTTAATTGAAGAAACTGTCACAAACCTTCTTCGGGTCGGTGGGGAGATAGGAGAGTCGAGCAAGGCGGCAAATCCGGATCCAAATGTTGCCTTTTCACAGGGGAAAATATATGAGGACTCGGGCGCTTCCTCAGCGTGTTCCCCGGTTCTGTCTTTATTTCAAGCATAGGGTTTTCATAATGCGGTAACGACAGATCTTCCTGTTTGACTTCCTCTCCGTTTAAAATCCTGGCGTGGAGAGTAGCTGCAAGCCTGTTAAATACACACATTAATTAAAAACATTAAGAAAATAATAATAATAATAATAATGTAAATTTCATACCCTTCGACTGGCTCTTCTCGAGGATAAGGTTTGACATCGGAGAAATAAGACTCGTGGTATGGCTTCAACTCGGCGCGTGGAAGTTGAACAGGTGTGTATCTGCTCGAACTATTCGGTGTAGCAACCTAAATATACATCACGGTTTAAAACAAATACTAAAAAAAAAACAATTCTTTTTTTTAGATTAACCACCGATTCCCAACATACATGATGTGGCAAAGGATGTCTTGCATGAGAATATCCTTGAGGCACTGGAGGGGAAACCCTTTCAGGTCTTGCAGGTACGTGCATGTTCAAGACAGAGCTATGAGAAGGAGTTGTACTCATGTCTACTGCAGCATTAATGATGCTCTAAAAATATTTAATACGGTTAATTGCAAAATGCTGTTGACAAATTCAATATTCAGCTAATGGCTGAGTCGTGAAAACCGACCAAGATCAAATTTGCAATATTAGTTTGTTTTTTAAATTCCATAATAAAAATTTGTGGAAAAATTTGTCTCGCATTTTTCTCGTAAGATTTTGATTCAGGAAATTCTACATTATTTATTAATACTACTGTGAATTATTTTGTAACTAAACCTGCAACCCTCCAAATATAAAAACTCGTTAAAAAATTGTTAACTAACTAGCTTTAATTATAAGTAAACACTGGTAAAAATGTTTACTCAGGACTTTTTTTTCCTGGGTGTGCCTACCAGCATGAATAACTTCATATTGATATTGGGAACAACACTGAAACCAAATGATACATACATGCATCATTAATAAAAGAGAAAAAAACTTAAATTGTGCAAAATATATATAGATTAATTTTGCCAGCTGTTGATAATTAAAAACTATTTTTTTCTCTATATATACAAATATATAAGTTTGCATGAAAATACTAATGTACAAGAAGAGTTATTTAATAATTTTTTATTATTTAATTTAATGTTAATTGTTTAAAAATGAATTGATTTTTTGATGTTTATATGGAAAATTTAATTTATTTTAAGGCCTGCAAGGTTGACATCCATCGTTTTAATATAAGACAAATTTAATTATATACATGTAAATTGCTGAACAGGATTACTTTACCAACCACAAAAAAGATACAAATCTCATAACAAGCAGTTTCTAAGAATAAATTCTAGACTTTATACATTAACGTTCGAGTGGTCGTAAGTTGTTTTTCTACACAGCTTTTTATTTTTATTTATTTATTTTTTTTTTAAACCCAGAGTTGGCCTTTATGTGGAATAATGCCAACTCCTGGGAAAATAAAATCAGGTAAGATTGATGAGGGCAGAACCGTAAAGCAGCACATTCAAAAGCCATGGGGGGGAAAATGGATGGAGAAAGAAATGACACCGTATGAATTTATCAGATGCAAAACAAGTAAGTTCCTCAATATCTCTATCAGGAAAATCTACCTCTCTGTTGGGCAGAAAGAATTTTGAGGGGGGGGGACTGAATCAGAAACCTACTAACTAAGCAGTGCGGCAGGTAAAGCATTAGCTAGAAAATGGAAAATAGTACAGCTTGTCGGAAAAGTGGTATTAGCCACAGCCCACTTCGTATCCTTTTCAACTCAAGGAAAAACTGAGTCAGAAATCTGTTCGCACTGCTCACTTATCATTTTTTTAATGGGAAAAACTGAATCATAAACATGTTGGCAGTGCCCACATGATCAAACAAATGGGAAAAACTGAGTCAGAAATCTGTTGACACTGGCTCCTTGATTACTAAAAAAAAGGGGGAAAACTGAGTCAGAAATTTGTTGGCACTGTCCATGTGATCATACAAATGGGAAAAACTGAATCAGAAATCTGTGGGCACTGCCCATGTGATCATACAAATGGGAAAAACTGAGTCAGAAACCTGTTGGCACTGCCCATGTGATCATACAAATGGGAAACACTGAGTCAGAAACCTGTTGGCACTGCCCATGTGATCATACAAATGGGAAACACTGAGTCAGAAATCTGTTGACACTGCCCTCTTGATTTAAAAAAGGGAAACACTGAGTCAGAAATCTGTTGACACTGCCCTCTTGATTTAAAAAAAAAAAAAAAAAAAAAAAAGAGGAAAACGGGAATCAGAAATCTATTGGCACTGCTCTCTTGAGTGTTTAAAAAATGGGAAAAACTGAGTCAGAAATTGTTGGCACTGCCCACTTGATTATAATATAAAACTGAGTTAGAAATTTACCAAGACTTACATGAGAAGCAGTGACTGCAAAACTTATACAGAAAATAGGATCTGCTTTAAGCTCACTAGTCAGTGCCCACTTGATTACCAAGTCAGTATAAATGGTAGACAATGTGAGACCAAAAGTGCTCCCTCGTAGGACACCTTTTTTTTATTTGCATTAAGCACGAAGTTAAATAATATTATAAAAGTTTGGATCCTGTAATGCCCTCGACCAGTAAATATAAACAAGCGCGAAGGAAAAAATGGGCCTGGTAACCTTGACCTTGCGTGACTGCTCAAAGTTTCTGTATTGCTGAAAGTGGTTTTCGTCTGTTAGTTAAAATTGGTGAAGTAATTTCTGTTCAGCGTTTGTTACAGAAACAAGGGAACAACATTTCTGCCAATACATTCTACCAAGGAAGTGTTTTTTTAAACATAAAATGTCTACGCAAAGAAGTTTGCATGCATTACATTCTAAAATTGGTAAGATAAATACTTGAAATATTTGAAAACTATACACTAATGAAACTGAATAAATAAATATAAAAAATAAATAAATAAAGCGAGGTTAAAATAAACAAAAATCAAAGGAATTTTAGGGTTAGCCATCATTCAGAATTCTTTATTAGTATATATTTAAATAATACTCCCTGCAATAATGATAAAGAAAAAATAGTGTAATAGTGTTTCTTAAGTCTTACTTGATTTGAAATCTCCAATGTCCTTTCAATTTCTCCATTAACCAGGTCACCGATTGTTCTCGTGCCTACTATACCGCTGCTGTTTGAAGGGATGGGAGGATGCTGTGAGGCAGCCAGTTTTTCTTGTGATAAATGCCGTCTAAGAGCAAGTTTCGCGGGAGAAACCTGTTAAAAACAATAATTTCGGTTACTTTAAGTGGTTAATGTAAAAAAATTAATGAAAATAAAAATAATGGAACAATTTAAGAAAATATTTATACAGCTATAACAGTATCAACTATTGAAAGCTAGAGCCTACATAGTTTTTAAGGTGGAAAGAGTTCTCAAATAAGGTTGGGGCTCCCTTAGCAGCAAAATTTTTTTTACCAATTTAACAAAACAAAATAACTTAAAATATTTTAGAAACTATAATAAAGAACATATAAATTAATAGATTGTGCCCCAAATGAATGATGCATTGATTGAGGATAGGTAAAATGATGGGGAATACTAATAGGAAAATTGAACAAGGTTAATGAAAAATGCATAGAAATAGGTAAATTTAAAAAATAAAAAAAAAAGCTTGAAGTGTCGATGTAATAAATTAATAGTCTACCTGGGTGTAATCAGGCTGAGCTTGATGTGTCGGTAACGGTGGTACAAATGCTGGTGTACTTTTCCTCTCCTTTTCGCGATCTTTTTCCCGTTCCCTTTCTCGTTCCCTATCTCTTTCCTTCTGTTCCCTCTCTCTTTCACGCTCCCGTTCCCTTTCTTTTTCTTTGGCGCCCGCTTGTGTTCTCGCATGTTGGTCTTCGTTCAAAACGGTCGTTATAATGCTCTTGAGGCGGTCTTCAAAGTTTGCTACTCGGGGCGGCTCTTGGGCACGGTTTGACGTGAATCCCGCATTGCTCGTAGTAGGCTGTTGGTGCGGCTGCTGGGTCAGCTGGTTCGGTTGATGAACGTGGTGATGGTGATGCAATTGTTGTAACTGTTGCTGCTGTTGATGGTGGTGATACAAAACTTGTGATTGTTGCTGTAACTGTAGCTGTTGTGCATGATGCGAATGCGGATGAGTCTGCACCTTACCAGATGAACTTCTTATTTGCTAAAAAGTAAATAAATTTTTATACTATAGTCTAGAAATTTAATCATTTTATTCAACACAAAAAGTAGAACTTTTCAACTCATAAATTATTACTTTTAAATCATATTTTTACCTGAGGCGGTCTCGATATGGGCACTGGGAGGAGGTCCTTAGGTCTCGGCGATATAGGAACTGGCGGTAGCTCCTTGGGCTTGGGTGATATCGGTATTGGGTGTAGATCCTTAGTTTTAGGCGAATCCTTAAACCTCCCTTCTTCTATCTTTCTTCCAGTAGCCAAAATCTTTTTCGCAAGAAGTTCAGGATTTTCTTCTTCGATCTTTTCCACATCCGGAACATCAGGCCAATCTTGAGAACGACAACGGTGATCACGACTTTTTCTACTCTGCTTCGCCGCATTAGGCAATTTGTCATTAGACGGTTTTGATTCCTTCTGAAAATAAAATTTAAGGTTAAAAAACTTAGTACGTTTTATTAAGTTAATGAAAAAAAAACAACATTAAATTACATTTGTATGAGTTCGTTGTTGCAATGAGGTCAGCTCTGTTTCAAGTTTATTAACTTGAGAATGTAGTTTCTTTCGTTGTGTCATTGTTGATAAGATTTCCTGGAGTAAGTGTTCTTGAGTCAAGGGAGTTGTGATTCCTGCTTTTCGAGCTGTCTCTGAAAGCTCCTGATGCCTGTCATTGAAGAGTCTAGCATTGTTTTCTTCCAAGTTGGCCACCTGAATCTGTAATTTGCTCGCCTGCGCTTGTAGTTCTTTATGCCTCATGACTATCTCTTTCGCTTTGCATAACAAGTCGGCGGGCGTCGAAGCATTTATGCCCAATTCATTCATACGGACTTTCAAAAGGGCAACGCTGTCATCAATCAAGACTTTAATTTGTTTATCCAACTGAGCGGCTCTGCATGTAAGTTTTTGATTGCGCTCCTTTTCTATGGCGACTTGGGACTGAACGTTTTCCTTGAAATCTGGTTTTTTCATTGTGTCGATCATCTGCATCATCTGATCCTTGTATAAGTCTAGAAGTATCTGAAGAGAATACGGCGTATTGGCAGGTGCTTTAGGTATCTCGAGTTCTTCGTGAACAGGTAAACTTGTTCCAGCAGCCAAGAGCGATGTAAGCTGTTGATCCACACACCCAGGGGCAGGGGGCGGCTTCTTCCCATTAGCTGGTAAAATAAATACAAATAAGTTACATTTAATATAAAGCTTATTTTTAATCAAGAAATCATTTATATACATTTATTACATATTACAAATTGGTGTATGTTTTTTTAGGGGATTCCACGTCATAAGATTTGATCAGAGATTATTATAATAAGCTATACAAATTCATGTGAGGAATTTTGATAGGATGTGTTGGATATTGGATATCTTGAAGAACACCCAGAGTTCTATCAAAATTTAGTCGAATTTTTTACAGTCAAAACAGATTTCCTAAAAGTCTTCTTAAGTTGTCCAAGACTTCTATTAAGTTGTCTTTTAAATCTTGTGTGGAAATTCGAGGTCTGGGTCTTGACTATTTGCAGAAATCAGTAGATCACATTGTTGCCTATTTAGTTTTATTCTCTACATTTTGCCCTGTAAGCTCAAAGTGCCCCTGGACATTGCAGGTTGCTTGGATATGATTCGACTTAGAAAATAAAATCGCTGTAGTAAAGATTGTGTTTATGCAGAGTAAAGTCAGTCGATAAATGGTATAAGAACGAGAATACTACTTTATTGGTCTTGGCTTATATTGGTCTAGTGACTCTTGGTAGTTCACACTGTTGTTTATTTAGTTTTGTTATCCACCTTTTGCTCAGTTATATATAAACTAAAGGTGTCCTTGTCTGTTGGACGTTCGAATATGATTTGAGTATGAACACTAAATTGCTGTGGTACAGAAGGAAAGCCATGATGACCCCATTTGTAGGTTATGCAATGAGGAGGAAGAAATAGCCACCTGTATCATCGTTGAATGCTTACCAGAATGGAGACAAAACCAGCGATACAAAGAAAACCCAGGAGAGGATTGTAGCACTGACAGTCATTAGGAGACAAAAAGGGTCGAATCGATTGCACTGAACTAAGGAACAAGGACAGTACAATAAGCTAGAAGGCTGCAGTGCTTAGGGAACAAAAAGACCTCTGACTTCCTAGTATCATCATAGGAAAGCCATTCAATTAATGGGACAAAAGCCAGGACCAATGTTCCCTTGTGTGACACAGGCTTATATTGGTATAATATTTCTGAACTGAAGCATCTATTAGTTAAAAAAGATTCCAGGATAAAGAAATAACTTTTTCTTTCTTTCATATCAAAAGCCTGGGCCACACCGAGATTCTCTAGAGTGAAGGAGATGGTGTTAATAACTGGATTGTTGGTTGAGGCTGAATTGGTTAGAAGGAATGATTCTTACCACTTGGACTCTTGATCTACAAAATATTGCACAATATTTTTTATTGTGCAATAGTATTGAATGACATCTTGATCCCAATTTATCACGCAATAATATTGACAGCACATAAGCGTCAATATTTTAAGCAATAACAAGATCTAGTGTTGTCAGATGTTAGACTTAGCTGCAGTTATTGTGTAAGATTAAAAATATTGCACAATATTAATCCTACTCGGTACAATGAAAAATATGGTGCAATAAAAATTAAAACGCTCAAAATTTTGTTCAATCAATGATCTCAAACCCTAAACAGTCACAAATATTGTGCAATTTATCATCTAGGGCCTGTCTTATAGAAAATAATCGTTACCTTGTGGAGAAGTACTGAGCAATGTTTCATTGTGAAGGAGATCCAATCCACTGATTTTGATTGTTTTCTTCTGCTTTCCTTTCTTTGTCTTTGCCTTGGTGCGTTTCGCTGGAGCCATGGCTCTCATCGGAGGGGCCGAATAGACTGGGGTGTTTTTGCCAGATCGGGGTAATTTCCTTCGCAATTTCTTTTTTCCAGTACGATTGCGTCCTTTATCTATCGGAAACACTTGATTTTATGTGTTTTGTCTTTTTACTTAAACGGCAAGATTGACTTACTGTTATTGTTGTCCTCATCACTTTGTGACGACCGGCCTTTGGTGCAATAATCAGACCAGGCCTTTCTCGTCGTCACTCTAGGCGTTTCGCTGCTATCAGACGTCACATCCTCTTCTGAACTCCATTCAATCGCTTTGTTGTTATTCCTAGCAGCCGATCTTCTTCCTACTGGATTCTCGGTCGTCTCATCATTCCCATTACTAACATTGGCGCTCTAAACAAATACAAAACAAAAAACTATAAAAACTTTCCTAAATTCAGTTAAACATATTTTTTTATTACATTATATTACATTTTGAATATTTTTTAAATATTATTTATTGTTAATATCATATTAACACCAACAGAACATTTTTTTACAAGCTGATCCAGGATTTCAATGTTTTTCATTGGCAAACAAGTTTCTAGATCAGAGAACTTTCGTTGTACAAATATTTGGGCTCGATTTAATCTTTAACAAGACAACACAAAATGTTGTTAAACATGCTTTGTTTACACTTTATTAATCACATAAGAAAGCAAAATTAAATTTATCAACTTTTCCAGACTTTTTCTTCTATACTTTAGCTTAAGATTGGAGAGAAAAGAGCAAGCTGTGAAACAATAACAAATAGAGAGGAAACTAGAGTGAAAAGCAGTGGTTTCCTGACATAACTAATTTAAAAATAACACAATGCCCAGCACACTTATAATTAGAGTAAAAGTGTTTCATTATTCAAAAAATTCATCCCACAAAAATAGTCAAGGGCATTTTTTACATAAGTGGTCATTAGTCATGATCAACACTAACACTAAGAAAGAAAGTTTTCAAGAAGTGATTGTTCAATGATTTTTTTAAAGCCTGAAATCCAAATAATTAACTTGAATATTTAATATATATTTTTAGAAAGCCAAGTTTTTTTTAAAGTAAAACAAATGTGTCATGTTTTACTCATTTTGAAGGGCACATCTTGTGGCAATAAACCATGTTAAGCATAAACATTAAAAAAAAAAACACTTTTCTACACAATATTTCAAGTTTAATGTATCAAAAACACAAAAATAACATGTTATTAAAATAATTATAAAGATGAAGTTTCCTAAACTGAGAAAGTCTCTTACATTTATACTTAATGATCGATGAATATGAACAAAAACAAGGAACACAGGGCGCCATAGTTAGTCACAACAAGCCTAAGATACAATTAAGCAGAAGACATCCATTCTCCTAGCAGAAGGATGTCAAGGAACGGATAGAACAAAATTAGGGTACATTGGGGTCATTAGATAAAACAAAATAAGGTAAGTGATTCTAGACCAGGGGCGTACAACAACCCCCGCATGCAAAATTTCGCCTTCATCTTTCACCCGCGATCGGATGTTGAGGAGGAAGAGGAGAAAGGGGTCACATCAAATTTGTACCTTGGATAAAGTTCGTCCCAATTGTTGTTTTCTCGAAACTTGAGTGGCAATTATTCTTGCACTCTTCATTTGAGACGAGACGTATCTACTAGGGGGACTGCACTTCCTCCTCCCTATGCCCTAGAAAAATTAAATCACCTTAAAATGCCGGAAAAAAGATGAAGATTAACTGGCGTGACCTTTGTTTTTGTTTACATACAAACAACCCAGGAAACTGACCTTTTCCTAGAAAGTTGTCTTTAAAGTATTTATCACAATTCAAGAAGAGCACAAACTCCCCAAAAATAACAGTTAATCCTTTATCGACAATAATGTATACAGGCGATGTAAAAATATTCACTTCTCCAATATGTTAAATTGACAATGGCAAGAAATTTTTAACAGTGAGATTTCCTCTTGTTGTCTGTCTTATGATTTAATAATATATTCTATTCAATCAACCAACCTTTACTGTATGTAATAATGTCTCATGAATCACTATGACCGCAACCCTGATTCACAGGACCCTATTATGATTTAATCCTTACCGATCAAGACTGTCTATCCTCACTGGGTCTGTCTTAGGCATTTTGCGAACAGACCAACCCGGCGAGGATAGACAGGCCAAGACGATCAAACACACTCAAACCTGGTATATAACTTCACCAATCAAATGGAAAGGTGGAAAAGTGGAACATTTTATTCAGTAGAAACTGCTCGCACAATTCTGCTCAGGATAAACTATCAGTTCAACTAAGGTACAAATACAGGTCGAGCAACGCTTATTATTACTGAAAATCGCCCCTTCCCCATATTTGAAAACATCTTTCTTGAGGCCAATCCAATCTTTTATATATCAAGAATTTTTAAATAAAATTTTGGATATTTTTTTTTTTTTTTAAATTCACATTGCCTCTCTGCCAATCAGTTGAACATACCTTTACACGAACCAGTTAATCAAATACTTACAAAATTCATCTTTACGAATATGCTAGGGTGTTTAGGCTAAAAATGTGAAAGAAATGGGAAAACAGCCTTGTTTATAGCTTTATGAAAATAAAAGCATTTTCTCCGATGATAATATAGAGTATAGAACAGCCACATGTCACTCAGTTCGAGTCATTTAAAAATAATCAAAAATAAAAGAAATACACAAGTTCAAGGAAACACAGTGGTTTTAAAGCGATTTTGAAAATTTTTAAGTCTAATGTTCATATCTAGCCGTACTTTGACCCAACAGAAACAAAAACGTTTTGTCAATTTTCATATAAGAATTTCTATCAAAATAAGGCAGTTATTCACAAATAGTATGTAGCAGAGTTACCGGATTTTTCAAAATTTACAACACTGATGCAATGAAAAAGTAAGCAAACGAATAAACTAACTTTTTTTGCATTAGCTTAATTATTAAAAATAAGCCAAGAAACTTTTTCATATGAATGCTTTACTTAAGGGATTTGTTTAATCTGTGTATTTGTGTAATTAATGTTTAAATAAATTATAGTGTAAATATGAGCCCCAAATTACTATAAATTGTACATACATCCAATACATATTAATTGGATATAAAACATTATTTTTGTAAATCTTAATAAATTATTTAAAGCCTTTTGTACATTAAAAAATAAATTATATATTTTTTAAGTTCTTTGTTTTCATAATAACTTTGAATATGCTAATCGAGAAGCAAAATAAAGTTTCCAGACATCTAAGCAAACAATTTTGTTTTCAATTGTCTACAGCATGATTCTGTTTACTTTGTGCAGTATTATGTTAATAGCAATCATGTTTTGCTTAGTTAGTACAATATTTGCCTTCAATATGGAAATACTGAAGTCCACTCAGGAAGTAATTGTTCAATTATCTAATGAAGGAAGATCATTTCATGAAATAAGAAAAGTATTTAATAAGACCAAGAAAATAGACTGCATTTAGGCTAGCCAGAAAAATTAAACATCATGCAAAAGCGTGCCATTCTCAAAGAAGTGACCACCAATCCGTCCATTGTCTCTGAAATTGTATGTATTCTGTATCAATATTACAATATTTCAGTTATGCCCCAAACAAAACAAAAATACTATTAAAAAACAAGGCATGCACGAACGCAATCCCAGTATTCCCTATATAAGTAAAAAGTATATGGAAAAGCACCTCCAGTTTGCAAAAGAGCCTGATACATTTTGGGAGTGTTAATTTCACCGATGAAAGTAAATTTAAACTCTCAGGGGCTGATGGAAGAAAGTGTGGCGTAAACCACAGGAATGACTTGAAATTAAAGAATGCCGACAGTTAAACATGGAGGTGGTTTGGGGTCTGCATGGGCTATATAGGAGTTGGCAATTTATATATAATCATTGGTTATCATGAACCATAGGTCTACGTTGATGTTACAAAACAGAATTTAAAGGAAAGCACTATTAAATAAATTGAGAGCATTTCTTCCAACAAGACAACGACCCCCAAACACATGGTTCAGAAAACTCAAGAATATCTAGTGTATAAAGCGCCCAGGCAGCTTTGAACACCACTCTAAATCATCTGATTTAAACCCTATCGGAAGGCAGCTTAAAAAATGAATATTATAAGCAAAAATAATCTAAAAGAAGAGATTTTAAATGAGTGGATATATCCGAATGTAACAAAAACCTAGTTCTATCAATGAAAACCATTTATTTACTATTTATTATTGTGGAGAAATAAATGACAAATAATGTGTTCAGAGACATTTTGTTTGAAACATTTAGCCACAAGCAAACAGCGTTTTGTCAAAAATAGTCCTACATAAGTATAATAAAAACAAGTACACGTGTATGAATTTTTATATACTCATCACAATAAAAATATGACAGAAAAGCATAACAAATAGTTAATTCTCTGAACGTTGTGAACACACACACAAATATTTTTTTACTTCATTTTAGCAAATAATGTGTGGTTTTGAAACCAAATAGTAAGTTGGGAAAACAGCTTCAATGATGAAATACTGAATATAAAATAACAATTACGCATGTTACTCAGTTCATGTTAAAAACACAAGAATAAAGCAAATATATCGGTTCAACAAAGTAACGATCTTACAACCATTTTGAAAATAGTACAATCTGGCCATACTGCAAGCAACAACGTTTTTCGAAAATAGTCCCACATAAGTATAAAAGAAACAAGTACACAGGTATGAATTTTCATATACTTGTCACAATAAAAATAAGAAAGAAGCATAAAAAACAATAATAATACATACAGTGATTCATGAAACTGATCAAAGGTTCGCAGAATTAACAAAAATTCATCCTGATCCGATATGTTGTTTCTCAAGTAACAATTAAAAATTTCTGCAGTATCTAAGAATGTAATACGATATTTGAATTGTAATGATTTTACAGTGAAGCGGATGTCAGAAAATATTCGGAAAGCAATTCTGGATGAGCTTCCCAAAAAGGAGCATCCCCCCGTTCTTTGAGTAACAAATACAGATGATCAGTAAGGACTATCAATAACATTCGAAAAATGAATACAACTCATGTGGAGGGATTGAAAAGGATAAAGCAGGTCGTAAGCCAAAACTCTCCGATGCCTTCAAGCACAGTATTATTCATTCAATTCGTTCAGATAGTTGGATAATGCCGTTCAAATACAACGGACGCTTAGGTGGTTTGATATCGACATCAGTGCTGAAGGAGTTTGCCGTGTCTTGAGAGAAACTGGCTTACGAGGAAGGGCAAATGTCACAGAAACACAGTTAACAAATAGGCATGAAACTAAGATTCACCAAAAAATATGCCCAACACACAGAAAATCATTGGCCAAATATTGTATGGCATGATTGATGACGAAATGAAAATTAATATATTTGGGTCTGATGGCAAAGAGTGGATGTGAAAAGGGCGAAATGAAAAATTAAGGGCGAGACATGTTAAACCAACAATCCAAACAATTCGGGCATGGAAGTATAATGTTATGGGGATGCTTCACGACAAAAGGGGTTGGCTTCATTGAGAAAATAGAAGGGGAGAATATCTTCAGTCAATGTTGTGATTTTAAAGCGTAGTTCGATAGGACGCCTTAGAAAGCTCAATAAACGTCAAATGGACATTCTTTTCCAGCAGGACCAATGATCCTAAACATACCGCTCGTATGACAAAAATAGGTTTAATTTGTCAGAATGGCCAGCACAATATCCAGATTTAAACCGTATAGAGAACCTCTGGGCCCAGCCGAAGAGACCGATGTTAATGCTTCAGTACGCGACACACACCAAATGTGGGAAAACACTGTGTCCAATGAAATCAAATCACACCACAACTATGTGACAAGTTGGTACAAATTATGCCAAGACGGATCTGCGCTGTAATCAATGCGTGAGGGGTCTATACCAAATATCAAAAGTTAACTAATCGTAATTTCATAATATTGATGAAATGTTTAGAAAAAGTAAATTTTTAGTTCTTTAATTCTACAACAAAATAATATCTGCAACAATGTAGTTGCAATTTAACTTATATAAAATTATAGAAACGTGTGATATATCGTTAAGCATAGGCTATTTGAACAATTTCGTGAGTCACTGTAACTACAGTGACGAACGATATAAGTATGCAAATGAAAACAACTAGATTTGTTTAAAAATGTATATTAATGTAAATGTATATTAATAGGTGATAAATGCGTGCATTTTTATTTTAGTTGAAAATAAACAGTCAAAGCCTCAAGACTGAGAACTTTCCAGGTTAAGTAGAAACGAACCGAAACGAGGAAAATCTAGAAATTGACATAGTCCGATGGAAAAGTTGAAATATTTTAGGTTGGGAGTTTTTTCTATTTCTAATTAACATTATACAAATATGAGACACAGGCCGAATTACGGTTTTTTGTTTGTAAATGAACGAAAAATCAATGTGTTGTAGGAATTTACGGAAAGAAAATTTGTCGAAGGGGCAGGTGGTCGTCGAAAGGAGCAAGGTGCCTTCCAGGCTCACGTGATTCCTTTTCATTGTGAAGGACGAAAAGGTTTTTTTTTTTGCCCCTGAGGTAAAGCTAACTCGAATCCAATAAAAATAAACGTTAAAAACGCGTAAACCGAACGACTACAAACAATAAAAATAAAAAGAAAAAAATCTGTCAGGAAAAATAAAAGCCGGATTGTTTACTGTTTACGGTCCCGTCGTAGTAAACGTTTAAACAACGGATGAGAATGAGGAATAGTTCGAGTACTCACCCTGTTTCTCGGCGGCATCTAAATCCAAAAAGTTTTCGGGGATATCGAGACGTTTAATTTCCGTAGAGAAATTTTGAGGAAAATCCTCGTCCTCGTATGGCCGAAGACACGGGGAAGCCGAACCGGAACGACGAATGGACGAGGGTGGAATGCAATTTGGACGGAGCCAGGGGAGACGATTTACGGAGGGGATGAAAGGGACGAGGGGGTGGAGGGTTGCGAGGGTCCCAAAAGCCTTCCCTTCACAACTACGAGGGTGGTTAGACGCCTTTTCGAAACTTCAAAACAGAAAGATATGCGGAATTGAAACTTAGAACTTGGAAGAAACTTCTGCACTACCGCCAATGGCCGAAGGATCCACGTGAACTTGCAAGAGCTGCGCTGTTGGACAAGGCCGACTAAATAGTACATTTCATCCCGATGGATCGTTTTTATTTCATTAACCAATCAAATAATCCTTTGGTTAATTGAACAAGTGCAAAGCTGAATAAATTAGATTTTTTCTGCTCTTCATTCGAAAATGCCTCGAAATACTCCATTAAAAAATCCCTAAAACACTGTCAATTTATTCGAAAAATTTCCTCTTTTTTTCGACAAGAAAAATTCATAATTTTATAAAGCAATCGCACCGAGTAAAGTAATTTGGATAGCTAGGGGTAGACAACGTGTCAGGATGCACGTAGGCCATATAATCGATATGGGGGAGAAAAAAGTGCATCCCTAATCTGGGGGGGGGGTCACGACCTCCCCACCCCTTCGCACTATGAATTTTTAGCTGTGTCAAATTACAGATTTTTCCTCCCTTTCTTTTTTCCGCGTTAGACAAGTACTACCACCGGCCATTACGGGCTTGTTTATGTTGACTTTGTTTTATAATCTGATTTGGTATACCTAGAATAAGGTACGACGTCAACTGTTACATTGCTATCGAGTTATTGGGGTCGTTGGGCCATCAATAGACCGGTCTCACGTTGAAACCGATTACGTTCAAGCTCGTCGCACGACGGTAAGCTCTCGCACTGGAATCGAATTGTTGAAGCCGTTTGTCCTTCAATAGGCTAGACTCAAACGGGAGCCGATTACGTACGACAGTACAAGCTCGTTGTACGACGGTGAGTTCTCGTACTGGAATCGACCTGTTGGATCGTTGGTCCATCAATAGTCCGGTCTCACATTGAAATCGATTACGTTCAAAAGCTCGTCGTACGACGGTGAACTGTCGCACTGTAATCGACCTGTTGGATCGTTGGGCAATCAATAGACCGGTCTCACTGTGAAACAGATGAGGTACAACGCCAACTATGGGCAACCTATTTGTTCGACGTGGGCTCTCATTGTGGAATCGACTTGTCTCTCAACAGGCTCGTCTGTCACGAAAAGACTATGTACGCTGAGGAAAAGCTAGTCGTACGATTGGAGCTCTCACATTGGAACAGACTTGGCGGATTCGTTGACGCTGGAACCGACTAGGGAATGTTTAGCTCCTTTACACTAGAAGCGACTTAATCGAGTGATCATGAGCACCTAAGGCCTGGGAAATGAAGAAGATTTAGATGAAGAGATCGCCATAGTTTCGTGTGTACTCCCTCGATGCTCTGTCCTCTGTGCGTGAAATACCCACGGTCCCTTGCTTTTGTAGGAAAACCCCACTCACGTAATCTTTGTTTTGGAAGTGCCTCGCATAAAAACGTCTTCCGGGTCGTTGGAAAAAAAATCGGTGGGGAGGGGTTGGTAAAATGTTGAACCAAAAAGAAGGCGGTACCAACAGGGTGATAGACAGCTCGTCTTTTGATCGAGCGTGGGTTTTGGGTTTTGGAAACTCGGGGCATTCATGTATCGTCCGAAAATCACATTCAAGTACAAATCGGAACATCCTTCTCCCAACTCACAATTGCGAAACATCCCCGTACCCATTCTCTAGTCATTATACACTGCCATAATGGTTCAAGAAGTCGTAACTAATAACCTTCATCCTCCGCCGTGGGCTATTGAGATTCTCAATTTCAAATCGAAGTTAACAACGGCAATAAGTCATTTTAATTAATTAAAACCCACATATTTTTACCGCTTCACAGAAAAACATTACATGTGTAATCTAACCCAACAAAACCTAACGCGTCCCTAACTCTAACTTAACCCTATCTAACCTAACCATACCCAATCTAACATAACCTAACCCTAACTTACATCAAGCCCCAAAAACATATCTACGTTAAAAAGTTTATTTTATTTCTCTACATATTTTATCTGCCAACAGAACTTATCTTCTGGTTTCAAGAATATGGAAGGGTGGGAAGATAATTGCTAACTGAGGAAAGATACTAGTACGATGACTTGAGCTGTCACATCGGAACCAGCATATTGACGCCGTTTGTCCCTCAGTAGGAAGGTCTGACATTGAAACCTATTACGTACGACTGAGAAAAACTTACGACTTGAGCTCTCGCATTGGACTATGTACTCTAACTCTAAAATAACCTTACCAAATCCAACATATCCTAACCCGTCCCAAACTCTAACATAACTATGCCTTACCTAATCTTACCTAACTCAAACTAGCCCTAATTATAACAAGCCCAAAAAATATCCATGTTAAAAAGATTATTTTATTTCTTCACATATTTTATCTGCCAACAGAATTGACCTGCTGGTTTCAACAATAGATAACTGCGAGAAAACCAAGTCGTACGACTTGAACTCTCGCACTGGAACCGACCATGTACTCTAACTCTAACCTAACCTTAACTTAACCGTACCGAACCTAACCTTACCAAATTCAACAAAACTTAACACGCCCTTAACTATAACCTAACCTAACCTTACTTAACCTAACCCTAAAGCATAGCCAACCCAAAAACATATCCAGGTTAAAAGGGTGAGTTTATTTCTCCACATATTTTATCTGAGAACAGAATTGAATTACTGGTTCCAACAATAGATAACTGAGGAAAACCTAGCCGTACAACTTTAACTCTCGCACTGGAAAAGACTATGTGCTCTAACTCTAACTAACCTTAACTTAGCCCTACCTAACCTAACCTTAACTTAACCCTACCTGACCAAAGCGAACATAACCTGCCCGTTCCCAACTATAACCTAACCTAACTTTAATTTAACCATACTTTACCTTACCAAATCCTACCAAACTAACCGTAACTATTATCAAGTCCAATAAATAACCATGTTGAAAAAGATTATTTATTTCTTCACATATTTTATCTGACAACAGAATCAACTGCTGGTTTCAACAATAGATGACTGAGAAAAACCTAGTCGTACGGCTTGAGCTTTCGCACTGGAACTGACTATGTACTCTAACTCTAACCTTAACTTAACCCTACCGAACCTAACCTTACTAAACACGACCCCAACTATAACCTAACCTAACCCTAAATTATATCAAGCCCAAAAACATGCCCATGTTAAATATTTCTCCACTTATTTTATCTGATAACAGAATAGAACCGCTGGTTCCGGAAATTCAAAGCAAACACTGCACTTTTTAAATGTATTTATCATATTAAATATATGCGTGGTTGTTATGTTGGAGTTATTGGTAAATCCAAATTGGATAATTATGTGATAGATAAAAAAAAAATTGTCTATAGGCTACTTTTGTAAAATTAACTGAGGACTAATAATTTGGCGTGCATATATATAAATATTTCTTACCTTAGTTTTCGGGTTCTTCAGCCGTTGGAAATACCTTTCCAGCTAAAAAGAAATAACGCCTTAATTAAAAGTTATTTACTATTTTCGCTAGAAAAAACAAAAATTTACATTATATTAGGCAAATAATAAATTGGGTCAATTTTTTTATAAATTTTGTAAAGAGTTAGTTGTATGTACGTTTTTCCTTCAAATTTGGCACAATGTTATAAAAGGCTTTAAGTCAACGTACAAGTGAAATCAATTTGTAATATAAAAAGGAATGAGAATTCGGTTTACTACATATAGACATTATATTACCTTTAAGTTGGCTCCATCCAGAACTTTATAAATTGGCGGTATCTATTATGATTTCAAAATTAAAATTGCACATCATGGAAGAAAACTGTTCTCGCATGTTGTATTAACTTGTGTCCATTTATCAAAAACACTGCATTATGCAATGGAACAGTTAGCACAAAAGAAACAACTTGTCCTTTGTTTAATTTTTTTTTTATAGATGTGCACGGATGCTTTAAAAATAATTAGAGCGAATGTTATCATATCTGATATCACTTATTAACAAAAAAAATACTGTAAATTTTGATAGTAGGGTATTGCTTCTCTCTCTATAAATATATATAAAAATAATTTGATAATTTAATAATATGAATGATAATTCAGCCACGCCAGTACATATGTCAGACTGATATGGAGAGAGAGCCGAGGACAAGCTCATCATGGTCATCGGCCTTGGCTCACTGTTCTTTTGCGGACAAAAAAGATTCAATTATTTAGCAAGTATGGGTTTGTTTATGTTTTTCACAAGTGGTTGTTAACATGTTAATGTTTATTTTAAGTAAATATAAGCGGTATTAAACACGAGAAAAAAAAATCAGCGTTATAAACTTTAATATTGGTCAACTTGGCTCACCTTAGTTCTGTCAATAACATGCAAATAATAGGAGACGGGTTTTCCTGTCCATGATACAGATCCTCTTAAGGGTGTCATCTCGGAAACGTGCATGATTGTGCCGATATCTGCAATGAGTTGAAAAAAAAAAATTATTTCATATTTCTATGTTCTACGGTTTATTTACTTGTTGAAGTTGAGGTGAGGATGGGCCAATTGGGCCCAGATTTCAATGAAATTTTGCATTTCTCACTTTCTACTGCGCGCATTTTCAAGTTAATTACACGTCAGTCGATTTGTTTTTGTACGTACGATAAGAAAATACCATGCAGGATCGCAATAAAACTAATTAAATATATAAAAAGTTATAAAAACGGAAATACGCCAGAAAAAAATTATTTAAAAAAATTCTGATTCGTTTTAAGCACCATTTAAAGTCCTTAAATAAGCATTTTTAAAGTAAACAAAAAAATAAACATATTTTTACTCCATCAGCCCGAGTCAATTTTTGTTCTCCGATAACCGGTGTTCCTCTTAAAAAATTCGTAACTACCCTGGATTTTATGCAAAATCAACTTTATTACAACCGTCTGAAAGCTGAATATGTCCACTTTCAGCCTGTATCAACGAAGTTTTGATATTATGTCATTATCAGTGAGAAAAACAAAGTCGGGGCGTCTCAAAGTTAGATTTTATTTTTTGAAATTTACAAAAACAGTTTTGAAATAGGATTTTATGCCTTTCTTGTGAATGTATTTAGAGTTTGTTGTATATCAATCGATTTTTACACCCTAGAAAAAGAAAATAGTACAAAGAATCGTATTAAATGAGATTAGATATGTAAAAAGGTGCAAAAACCAAAAGACGCACTCAGTAAAGTAGGTCCAAATAAAAAGTTCCAATTTCAACCTTATTACAACCTTTAAATTAATTAATCTTTTTATGTAAGGTTTTGGTTGAAATGAAAAATTAATTAATTGAAAGTCGTAATTGGTCAATCAGACCACTAAATATAATGGACTTATTACTACCGTTGGAAAGCTGAATGTTCCTACTTTCAACGTATGTCGACAATGTATAGATTTTATGCCATCATCATTGAGAAGAACAAGGATAGAACGGACAAAAACATCTCAAATGTTTTATTTTATATCTCAGGTTCTGATTTTTTCATGGAAACCAGGTTTGTCCCATTAGTTTATGGAGTGCTAAAACTAATGTAACGTTTCCCTTGGATCCGTGGGTCGTTTCAAAGTTATGACATTTTGTGGGTTTTCAAAAAAAACGCAAGCAGAATTTCTTTTTTTCAGGGGAAAAATTGAATTTTCGATTTTCCTAAAAATTAGTATTCGGGGTTTTTGGGGGGGTGAGAAAAACGAATATCGATTTTGTTTCTTGCTAAAAAATTATTTTAGCTTACTTTGCTAAGTTGCACTGCATGCGGGACACACTAAAAGCCCCTGCCTCAATTTTTTAGGTCAATTTTTTGCAGATACATTTTAGATAAAGAAGTATTTAGAAATACTTTTTTAACACCAAAATTTTTGAACACTACGTAGAAAATTAGCTCAAAAGGTAATTTAAAAAATTGAGATTTTCCGGTTGTATCTGCCTGGGGCAATTTTTCTTTCCTCCTATATCCCCTGACCGAGAAAAAGGAATATCGGCATTGTTTCTTGGTAAAAGAACCTATTTTGACCTAAACTTGCAATGTCACAAAATGTCGAATTCGCATTTTATGTGGGGAGGGGGATTTCGTACGATTGACGGGTGATGAGGAGGCGGAAGGGCCGATGGAGGTGGCGGTGGCGGAGGCGGCGGGCGAGGGTCTGCGCTCTCTCGGCTCCCGGCCCAACTCTTTACCGTTTCACTTGCGGGAGAAATCAATTTTTTGGCGTGGTTGAATGACCTGGCGTCCTCGCCCGGCCCCCGCCGCTCGGTCCTCTTCCTCCCATCGACGCGTGCGCTCCACGTTTCATCGGCATTCACAAAATCCTGGCCGGGCAGAAAAGAGGAATAAGTGCCGAACAAAGGATCGATCGGGAGACAGGGATACGAGTTCGGAATAATCATAGTAAGGCGGGACTGTTTGACACTGGGCATTTTGAATATCACTGTGCTCTACATGTACTATGATAGTTATTTACCCCTTTCATGTCTCACAACACAATTTATCGATAGGTTTAGGATAGGGGTTTATCGACTAACTAGGCTTAAGTCAGAACTTAGTTCGGATGTCTTTCTGTAAGAAACCGCTAAGTCAGGCCATATCTCTTCTCTTCTTCCGAACCTTTTTGTTTCTTTATTAGGAAGTGTGGTGACTTAGCTAAAGTTTGCACCAGAACTTCAACAATGCTTCAGACTTCCGAGCAGCACTACTATATATAAGCAGAGACTTGACCTTAGGCTAGAGATTCGTTGACAGGTCTTATTACTAGCCAGAGCGACAGGCTTCACAGCTGGAATACATCGCTCACTCTATCTGGCTCATCAATTCACTGCACATAGCCTTCCTGGAAGTACACAGCGCTCAACATCTCCAAAAAACACCGGCTTTTCTCAGGGCCAATATAACCCCCCCCCCCAAATAAAGGCTGTCTGCCCAGTCCGGACTTGTCTGGTGCCGTGTGAAGTTGAGCCTGTTATGTCACTACAACAATGCTTAAGACTCCCGAACAGCACTCCTTTATATAAGCTTAGGCTTATATTTGCTTAGGCTAGAGATGGTCGATAAAGACTTACCACCAAGCCAGAGCGACAGCCTTAACAGCTCGAATACACCTCTCACTCCATCTGGCTCATTAACTCACTGCAAACAGCTTTCCTGGAAGTCAACATCACTCAAGAAAAAATGGGCCACTTCAAAAGTCCCAATTAAAACTGTCTTTAGTTAAGAATTGAAGGAACTGCCTCCAGTTGGTTTTCATCCACCCCGCTCTCTACGCTCTCTTGTAATCTTGTAAATTTCAAAGTACATAAAATCTTATGTCTTCAAGTAAATTGTAACATTGCATTTCCTAGTAAATTGTAATCTTCAAGTCAAAAAAAGGTTATTAGTGTTCTGAACTTATAACGTTTGATGGACTGGTCCAGTCTGGCGGGCATGTGACTACGATTTGTAAGGAAATAAAGATGAGATAACATGATGTTGAAGGGGGTCTGCAAAATGCACTATAATAAACGCCGTGGACTTCCGAGATATAGGCAGACATATAGCAGAGATAGGCTGCTAGCCATGTCGGCTGTGAGCATTGCCGGTGATGTAGACAACGTTGGGAGGCTTGCTTCATTAGGATGGATGAGATCTCGTCGACGAGTCTGCTCTAATCATCTAAGGAGGCTGATGCCCTGCTTACTTGTACTGCTTGGAAGTCTGAAGCATTGTTGAGGTAGTGGCGTTGCCTAGTGAAAACTACTTAGTAATTTGGGAAGACTTGATTTCCGCCTACCCGCAAGGCTTGACGAAGATTATCTAGTGCAAGTCTCTAAAATGGGAGTGAAAAGACCATTGTACAGGATGAAACAGCCATTGATTACTTATACTTTCCGTTAACAACCTGCTAAAAACGAGGATAAATTATTGCCAAGAGGTCTTCTATGTCAAAACTTCGTAAGTTAACAAGCTGACTAGTAAAATAATGTGATGAGAAAACGTTTACCTGAAAGATTCCGGTCCGTGATCCTGAAATTGAGCGGGCAGAAGGACTTGGAGGAGACGATCCTCGCTCCGTCTTTGAGGTCTGCGAACCTCTCTTTGAGCATGTGGTCAACGGTCGGTCCGAAGGCGAAGTTGTTGACGAAGACTATGGACGCCGAGATGATCTTCTCCCTGTGCTCTTCCGTTAAGAAGTCACCTTTGATGAGCTTGTACTCGCCGAATTTCTTACCGTACCAGCCCATCCACTTGCGGAAGTTCTTGTTCATACCCTGGGAATAAAAAATTTTAGATTTTTTTTTTAAATTTAAATATGGCCGGATGATTTACCTCGGCGTACTTGGACGGCACGTCCGCCTTTTCGACCCCGAGACATATTTTGCAAGGTGTGGCCGCCGCCATCTGGAGGACGACCTGGCCGACTCCGGATCCCAAGTCGATGAAAATGTCGTCTTTCGAGATGTTGATCTGATCGATCATCTGACAGACCAAATCGAAAGACGTCTCTCCGTACACCTAAAAACACAAAACCAACAGATTAAAAACGTTTAAAAGTGCGGTTCACGTTGAAAATTTACCTCGGGCGAGAACGGCTCGTACTGGTTCAACTTTTCCGGATCGTAAACGGCTTGATTGTATACTTGCTGGAGGATGTGCCTTAGAAGACCTCGAGACGGATTTTTCTGCGCCATCTTCTGGCTCAAGGAAGTGCCTTTGCTCTTAAACAGAAAAAAAAAAAACATTTTACAATCGTGTCCTTACAAATGAGGTAGTAGTCAAACCAGCAGAAGTATGACGTCGTTGTGCCATTATGCAAAAAGGTTCTTCCTTTGATCCATTAAACATCTGTCGGACAGGTGGATGATCGAAGGTTATCAGATGGTCGTTTCCAACTTATTTATCCAAATTCAAGGTTAATAAGGTAAATTTCTTCAAACGAACGATTCGCCAATGTCACAAGGGGACTGAATAAAAAGACCTAGGCGTATTGATTTTTCTTTCCAAACCCCACACCTCTTTCATTCGACGCCATGGAATAAAACAAGACAAGGTTTTGAACGTCATTCTGTACACAAATTGGCCCTCATTTTCTCATATAACCAATTGTACACATCATACGAAAAATAGAATAGACCACACAGTAGAATTAGCGACGACAACGTTTCAATGCTATCGTATTAAAATAACCTTTTCAAGATTTTTTTTCTAGTTTTCAAGCAGTAAATTGATACTTGATAGACCTGCTTAGGTTCGATATCGAAAAAGAACAACTCGTTGATCAATTAACGCTGCAATGTTTTGCAATGGGGTAGAACAGGGGGGGGTGGCTTACCCCCTTTCCGATCGAGTACCTTGGTCGTTCGATCCGGTTGAAATCTAACGATTTTTCGATTGGAAAACGCACTTTTGAACTGGGTTTCTTTTCAATAAAACGTCTATTTCGTGAGGGATTTCTTATTCCTTTCGGAATTTGCCATATTGATAAGTTTTCCATCTATTAACGACAATTAATAACCCTTGCTAAAAATAAGTCATTTCATAAGTCAATCGTCCTTTTTAAGTAAGATAACATAAAAAAAAATTAAAAAAAAAACCCGGCACATTTTTCTTCATACACATTCACTTTCTAAAGGATCAATTTGAATTAAAAAAAGATTAATTTGAAGTAAAAAAGGGCCAATTTAAAGTTTAAAAACGGTCAATTTAATTTTGAAAAAGGTTTAACTAAATTGAAAAAATGGTCAAGAGGTTAAAAAAGGTTGGGTTGAAGTTAAAAGGGGCCAATTTAAAGTTTAAAAATGGTCAATTCGATGTTACAAAGGGTCGATGAAAAGCGAAAAAAAAAAGGTTGGCTTGAAGTTGAAAAGGGGCCAATTAAACGTTTTAAAAAGGTGAATTTGAAGTGAAAAATGGCCAATTTGAGATTTAAAAATAGGTTAATTTCAACTTAAAATGGGTCAATTTGAAGTAAAACAGTCAATTTAAAGTAACAAAAATACTGTCAATTTGAGGTTTAAAAAGTCGATTTGAAGTCAAAAAGGGCCCATTTGAAGATTAAAAAAAGGATAATTTGATATAAAAAAAGGTTTAATTGAAGTTTTAAGGGGTCAATTTGAAGTCAAAAAGGGCCCATTTGAAGATTAAAAAAAGGATAATTTGATATAAAAAAAGGTTTAATTGAAGTTTTAAGGGGTCAATTTGAAGCTAAAAGAAGTCAATTTACAGTTAAAAAAGGTCAATTTGATGTTAAAAAATGTTGATTAGAAGTTAAAACGGGTCAATGTGAAGTTAAAAAATGTTGATTACAAGTTAAAACGTGTCAATTGGAAGTTAAAAAATGTTGATTAGAAGTTAAAACGGGTCAATTTGAAGTTAAAAAATGTTGATTACAAGTTAAAACGGGTCAGTTTGAAGTTAAAAAATGTTGATTACAAGTTAAAACGTGACAATTTGAAGTTAAAAAATGTTGATTACAAGTTAAAACGGGTCAGTTTGAAGTTAAAAAATGTTGATTAGAAGTTAAAACGGGTCAATTTGAAGTTAAAAAAAGTTTGATTTAAAGATAAAAAAGACCAGGTTGATGTTTAAAGACGTTCAATTTGAAGTTTTAAAAAGGTTTTGCGTTTCGGCATTTCGCCATATTCATTGGGTTTCCATCTATTAGCGTCAATTAATTCTTGCTAAAAAATACTTTGAAGCTTTCATTCAAGTCAATTTTTCAAGTTCGAACTTTAAAGGCAAAATGCTCCACAGGAATTTTTTTTTCAATATCTCTCATCAATTTAAATCGCTATTTAGATTAGGAGTTGGATTTTGAAGAGGGTTTTGAGAATTTTGTACATGATGGAAACGAGGTGAAGGTAGGGCTTTTACAAGGCCGACAGATGCTGTTGACCCCACAATTAACTCGATCCTCCTTCCCAACAACATCCTTTCTCTTCTTAGTTCTTCATAGTCATATCTCTTTGGTAGGGGGAGATCAAAAGGTATCTAGAGCTCACCACTCGCAATTATTGCCAGGTGCAACAGACAATTGAGCAAAGGGGTTGATACGAGTGGTTGTACAGTAGTTTTTATCTACAAACATAAATAATTAGGCATAAGCCTGCGTGAAGCGAACCGGCTTTGGATCGCCAGATCGAACTGTAAAATTTTGAAGGAGAAAAAAAAATTCCGACCAAACCCGAATTTGTTATCTAATCGGACCGACTGCTCGTAGCGAAAGGAGCGAATATCTGCCCTTGACATCCATTTAAACCTCGTTAATGAAACTTTGACCCATCCCCAACCAAAATAAACAGCCGTTAAATGCGTGCCGAAATAACCGGGCGAGGGACTCGACAAAAATGTCCGACGATTTATAATTAAAATAGTGGAAAAAGTTCATTTACAGGAGCGATCGATTCGCCTGGAGCTAAAGGACGTAAAAATACGTTGAAAAACAAACGAAAGGGTTGAATGAAAAATTCCCCAATTGAGGGAGGGCAGGAACAAATCCTGCTGGATTAGGAAAACCCTTTTCCCCGTCAAATTTATTTCCCCGCTTATTCATTTCAAATCAACATTTTCATTACAACATCGAAAACCTAGGAAATAGTATAGAACATAAGCACGACTAGACAAAAGCCAAACCTGCTTGAAAAAAATAATAAACTAAAATAATTGAGCTCTTAGAAGACCGAAGAAGACAATTAATTACGATTAAATTAAAAATTATACAAAACTAAATATAAAAAGAAATGATTCTTCTTGTTAATCGCACACTTAATATTCCAATTATTTTATACCTTGTAAAAAGCTCAAATATACAGGAATTTATATTATACATGATTATACTACCAGGTAGGTTTTTTAATGCTCTACAAAAAGGGTTGATTTGGATTTAGCAAAGTTTAGCTTGAAATTTAAAAGGGTTAATGTTACATTAAGAAAAGTTCATTTGGTGCACAAAAAGGGTAATTTCAAATTAAACGAATAATTTTAATATTTAATTTTATACAATTTTCCATTTTAATTGTAATTAACACTCCTATGATAATTAATATAATGCCAATGATTCTATATTTTAAAAACCATCTCAAATTAAAATCAGGATTTATTTTTGCATAATTCTGAATTAAAAGTGTAACGAATTACACTCATACAATGTAAAAACCTTGTATATTTGAGTCTTTTTTCGTTTGTTTTACGGATTCTAACATCCCAATTATTTTATATTTAAAAAACGAACGAAAAAAAAAACTTAAATACACATGAATTTTATTTTGTATGATATTTCATCACATTTTAATTGAAGTTAAAAAGGACATAACAGGATCAATTTAAAGGTTAAAAAATATTAATTTGAGGTTAAAAAAAGGATCAATTTAAGGTAAAAAAAGGTGATTTGAAGTTAGAAGGGTCAATTTGAAGTAAAAACCAAAGGTCAAAAAGGTTCAATGAAACGTTTAAAAAGGTGAATTTGAAGTTAAAAAGGGTAAATTTAAAGGGGAAAAANTTGCTATAAAAAGGTTCAACTAAAAATATAAAAAAGGGGTCAGTTTAAAATTTAAAAAACTGTTGAAGTTAAAAGGTGTAAATTAAAGTAAATTAAAAGGGTTGAAGTTAAAAAATGTTCGTTTGCTATAAAAAGGTTCAACTAAAAATATAAAAAAGGGGTCAGTTTAAAATTTAAAAAACTGTTGAAGTTAAAAGGTGTAAATTAAAGTAAATTAAAAGGGTTGAAGTTAAAAAATGTTCGTTTGCTATAAAAAGGTTCAACTAAAAATATAAAAAAGCTGATTTGAAGTTAATTAAAGAATTACAAGAAGAATCCTTTAGTTTTTTATTATTTTGTATAGTTCTTAATTTTAATTGTAATTACATTTCGTGTAGATTTTAAGAGCCCAATTATTTTATAATAAAAAACTCATATTAAACGAAAAAATTGAATATTTATTTTTATATTTCATTTGATATAATTTTAAATGTTAATTGTAATTAATTTTGATATCGTTTTTAAGAGCCAAGTTATTTTACATTAAAAAAAAAAAAATTAAATAACACATACATGAATTTTACTTTACATGCACTTCAAACCATCTAAGCTTTTGGTCTAATGCTTTTAAGAAAAAGTTAATTTGAAGTTAATTATTGAGAAAAACAATTAATTTGACGCAAGAAAGGTAGTACCCGGTCGGCATCATAAACAAAAACTACCAACCTTTCCAATAATTTTAAAAAACCTATTGCACTGTTTTTTGGACATTCAACTTAGAGTTCTTCTAGTTTAAGCTAGAAGTTTCCGATCAATTTTGTCTTCCTGCCCTAGACGTTTAGAATACCGAAAATGTTCACAAAACAGCAATTCAAAGTGTTAGATAGAGAAAGAAGTTAATCGATTGAATGAAATAAATACGACGAGATGGGTCTGGCAGACCAAAACCAGCACCATTTCTGTGTGCCCATGGATCCATGCTTCAAATTGAAAGAAAATAGATTTTTATTCCCTCGACAACTCCAGTCCGAGATAATTTACAAACCGAGTTTACAGACATTTGTTTAAGTGTTACGGCCGGATGCTCGTACCGCCGAGGGCTTGGAAAACGTGAACGTCTCGGGTTCCCTCCGCTCTCATCACCGAAAGGCCTGGGCCCATAATTTAACGTGAGGCGCCGTCATGCAGTCAGGTTGAATTGAATCTTTTTAACAGGGGATGTGACTGAGATCCGAATGGGGT